ATTGTATTATGTGGGAATCAAGGGTGATCTGATTTAATCACTTGAGCAAAAAAAAAAAAAAAAAAGAAGATTGAAGATAATTACAACATACATAAAGAATTTTACATTAAGTTCACTGAGTTCTATTGTTGTCTGTTGCACAACGGTTATTTTTATTATGATTTTGACAAAACTTTTTCTTTTAAAGTTTATCTCATACCCAAAATTCTCAGATTCAACATTAAGATAGTACCCTTTATAAAGAAAAAATTCATTAAAACGCCAAAAATGTCCCCAACTATGGAGTAAGTTATTTGTCCGGACCTCTAACGTGTCAGAAGACCAATATAAAAAATGGCCACATCATTAGGCGTCAGTACCGATAGCGTACCACTCGGCACACTGGTACCCTGTCCGGACACAATAATTTTTTCAATCTATGACTGAATATGCATATTACATTTTCTTCCTTTCGCAAGCAAACTTAAACATATCAAATGACACTAACTAGTTTGTGTGATTTCAGGAGCTTCTTGATTTACAAAGATAGTATTGGAAATGTTAATACTGGATTATCAGAAGAACAACTCTCCGTATGCCTAACAAAAACAATGTACTGCTTCAATTAAAGGGCTTTAGAGAATCATCTTGAATCTAGCTGCTCAATATGCTTGGTAAGCTTCTTGTTTTGGGGGATTCATAGATCCCGCTATTCTTATTTATCTACATATTAACACCTAAATTGCTATAATATTTTATAACACCGTGTCTAAATCACCTCAAAATCTATGAATAAAAATATGTATTTCTATTAGATAAATTTATATTAGGAATATTTTAGATGCATTATAGATTATGATATTAGACGAGTAAATATAAATGTTTAAATATTAATACACAAAAAATTTAGTGGATTTTATATAAACCCTCATGTTTCAAATAAATTATTCCTAATAATTATTTTTTTATATTAAATTTGAAGTATCAAAATAGTGAAAATTGGCCTGTGGTCAATAGGAAGAATACAGGGATGAGGATAATCTTGGAATGATGAAGTGCCTTCATGTTTATCATTTTGACTGCATCAATGACTGGTTAAGCAAAAAGAAGCCTGTCCTATTTGTAAAGCTCCAGCACTGGAAGATATGCCCTGAAGCAGAACTGAAGGTTACTTTTCTGATTTGGATGGCTCAAAGAGCTTATTTAGACGTTTGATTTGCAAAATTTAAATCTGCTTTTGCTTCTTGTAAATAAGTTGGTTAACTAGTATGATGTTGCAAGAATTTGGTTTAGGCATTTAACATTTGTTTCAGTTGCATTGTTTATAATCTCTTATGTATAGTTCAAATGCTTAATGATTTTATTTTCATTGAAATCCTTATTTTTGGGAAATATTATAGATGATTGTACAGTTTTTAAGTATATTAATTATTAATTACACAACCAAATGGGTTTTAGATATGTCTTTATTTGGACAAATTATTTGCAAATTTTTATGTTTTAAACTAAAATATATTTAAAGTGTCAAATGTCACATTTAAAATTATTAAAACTAAAATATTTTAATAATTATAAAATTCAAATGAATAGTTAAGCGTCTAAATTAACTACTGAAAAGTACCTTGGAATATTCCACAGATTAACTGTTAATGGTCTATAATATTCTTGTCATGAGAAAAATATAAAAATAAGATGACGTAAAACAGGCTAGAAAATACATAAGCATACCATTTATTTTTACATCAAATTCTTACACACGGTACTTGCAAAAAAAAGTTTTAAAATAGTTTTTGAGTAATAATTTTTTTAAAATTAAATTTTTTGAATTAAAGAGAAAAAGTAAGAAAGGTGTCTAAAGGAAAACCTCAAATTTTTTTAGTACTAACAAGAAACAAATAATTTTTTTTCATCAAATTATTGGATTTGACCAAAAAGTATTATTTGTTTTAATCATTATAGCAAAACAAGCTACAAAATGATATCATCAAACAGTGTCAACAAGTTAGTTTAAAGCTCCAATAAGATGCCTACTAATTGGATATTAAAAAGTTTAGAAAACAGTTAAAATTACATTATTTAGTATCAGAGTATCCAAACCAGCGCCATGGTCACTAGTTGAAATTTGTTATCAATTGTTGATCAATGTTGATATTTACCTTTTTATTAATATTGACTTTTGCTATTTATCAATGTTAAAATGTGTCATATGCCAACATTGATTTCTACTGTTGACCAATCAAAGTAGATTCTTTTAATTGACATGCACTCGTTGGTAATGTTGCTTATGATTATAATTTTTATTGGATTGGGGAATCATTGGTAGTACAAAGCACAAAAGAAAAAAAAAAAAAAAAAGCAAGAGGTAAAGTAAGCTAAATCCTACTACTCACTCAAGTAGTAATTTTAGAAAGGATCACTCAACCCCTTGTTTGTCCAGACATCAAGCTCCAACTAATGAATTTTTCTTCAAAATTCATTCATAATACACATAATATCCTTCATTCCACATTTAATTAAGTGTTTATAAAAGTTACACAATAGTAATTTGAATTTAGAAAAGATGGAAAGTTGAAGGGGTGGTCCACGCTAGTAACAACCATAACAAGTCCCTCCTTCCATGCTTGGCCAACCAACCATTACACTCTTTGACAACTTGGCTTTTCCAACCACTCATTCCTTACTCTAGGCACATAATTAACAAAATTAAGTACCTTCTTCTTATTTGACCCGGCTAAGAGGCCTCGAATTAATGACAGTAAATTATTTTTTTATTACTAAATCTATCTCAAATATATTGAAAGAGCCACTAAACATAAAAAATATAAACTGATATAAAAATAACTTAAATAACTTTCTTAT